ATTTTCAAATAAATTTCAAAAATATATTTATATAATTATTATTTATAAAATATTATTTCCTATAACCCTATTATTTTATAAATTTTAATTTTATTAATTTATAATTTAAATTAAATTAATATTTTTTATAATAATAATTTTCTAGATTATAATTACAATATTTATTTTCAATATATAATTTTATATAAAATATTAATTAATAAATATTTTTAATATATATATTTATATAATATTATATATATTATATAAAAAAAATATAAATATAGTATTTGTTTATTTTAATATATTTTAATATATTTTTTTATCAATCTTCTTTGTTATCAGCAACGTCGTATGCCTCACGGATGGCCCGGTAGATCTCCTCCTGAGTGATTGAGGTTTTTTTCCCATCTGATTCTTGGTTATCTATTCGGTTTTCCATATAGATATCCATATTTTTGTTCTTGAAAGCTGGTTAATTAATCTTGAACGTATACAGGTGCGTTTGGGCCTGATATATGGTTTATGATTATCCATTCCACAAACCAAGGGAATCTAAACATGGTGGCTTGATCTAAATCTCTATGAAAATGGATTGATGTTCGTACAGGATTCGATATCAAATCCACCACTAACCATGACAAAAATGATTTTCAATTGTGGTCGCTTCCAATTTTCTTTGCCAATTAGGTACACGAATTCCAAATGAAAGCTGTGGTATCTGTCCGTAAGGGGCAGAACATCACCGAGATGGGCGTCGCGATTCGCCCCCGGGGGTTTATGCTACCCGATCCACTTTAGTGACCCTGAATGATAGGCCTTCATGGGGATATGGGATTCTGAGATAATCCCAGAATTTTCTAGAATTGGTTCAAAGGACTTTGCAAAAACTTCCAGAAAGTTCTTAAACTGCGGGACCCATTAAAAGCACTGTCTTTGGATGATTTTGGGATCCCCATTTTGAGAAGAGGTTTACGAACCCCCCACGTTTGAAATTGTTGGCTCCCACTATATCCCCATAAGTGGCTGGCTCTATGTCCCAGGAAAATCCACATAATTAAATCCCCAAACCAAACCAACATACCTCACATTTTTCTTCTCGGCTATCCTCATAGGAATTCAACCACCCGCTTGAAAGATAACCAACTAACAGATTTAGATGCATCATAAGACCTTGTTAGTTGTTGGTGATTCATATGCCCTTGATCAGCCAAACCAATATGGGGTCACTGACCTGGGCTGGTTGAATTGGTGACGCACGATACAGGTGATCTATGAACCAATATCCAAATTACATCCATAATCCTCATATCTAAATATTGGCTGGTGGATGAAAAACACTCACCCATGTTGTTAGTGAAATCACCATGTGCACCTAGTCTCGGTGCAATCATGATGTGGAGGTTTCCTAAAGCGGGACCCCCAAATCATCCAAACTCAGATCATTTTAGTATTGAAACTTCATGGTGACTTGGCGATCTCCCATTAACCAAAAAAAATCCACCCAATGGTCATTTTAAGAGGGAATATGATGATAAACTAGTGGATGTTCACCATTTATAGTATAGCTAATATAATGATGATCCATTCACCATGAAATATTACCTATAATCCATGGTTTTCATGCAAAAAATATCTTCATGGCGGATTTTGATTCACCATATATCAACCATATAGAAAAACCTATGGAAAATCCCTGAAGTTTTCCACCATCTCCATGTTTTCGACCGTCCTTGGGTTGTCCACTTGCCACCAGCTCTGCGATCTGCGCTTGAACCATCGCTTGGCGCTGCGGTTGCTGTGGTACTCCCGTGGATGGATTCCACCACCTGATCCGAAAAGCAACGACCGGTCCGACCGGTGGTGGATTTTTTTGTGGATTTTTGTCATGAAAAAACGAGAGATTTGAGCACCAAAACTATGGAGTCTATGGAGTTTACCAGCACACCAGCACAAACACTGGTAAAAACCATACAGACATATACAGACTTTAACGAACTTCTTTTTGACCATCGAAAAATGGGGACTTTAGCATGACAAATGTTGGTTTTACCATCATAAACTTGGACTTTACCAACAACGAATCCACATTTTAGACAGCCGACAGCCAACATTGGAATTTATGCACTAACAACAAAATGGGAATGTACCCTCTGGCAGCTGGCAATCTACAGTGGCAGTGGACATTCACAAGTTTCAACAAGCAATTTGTACCCATGTCTTTTATCAACAGTTGGCAAGGACAAGTTTTTTTCCACGACACGCGAACGGAAAAGTGTCAAAGAGCTGGGGAAACCACATATCCAAACGAATCCAAACGGATGCAAAGGGATCCAAACGGTCTATTGCAGGAGGAAACAAACACATTGTTTGGGACCCACCCATTTGTTTGGATGCAAAGCCAAAGGGTGACTTGATGGTTTCCCTTTTCACCCTAATGGTTGATTCAAAATCTTTGACCACAAAATGGTTGAAGTTTTTTTTACTAACCATGCCCAACCATTTGTGGATCCATTGGGACTGGTATCCAGGAACACCTATCACTCTTCTTAATGATGCACCGTTATGGGCTATGTCAACAGGCCCAACATTTGAATGGCTTAGCGCTACAATTATGTACAGATTGGTGGACGCAACAGTCACACCGCTTTTGGAAGCTATGCGCATCAAGGGGCATCAAACCAGGTGCTGATAAAATCATGATGTATCATGGTGTCCGTCAATTTTAATGCATTCACAATTATTACTATTTGTGTTGGCAGTTGGCAATGGATGGTAACATCTTATTCTTGTTGATGACACCACCCTTTTTGGTCGGTGAGATCCTCCACGGCCAAGCAACTTGGCTTTCCACTTCTGCGCGCCCACCAAGCCATAGAACTCCTCGTAGTGTGCTGGGCCTGGCGGGTAGCTGTGCCACTTTCACACCTACCCCCAAAAAAAGATCTTTCGTGGCAGTTCCGAGGAAAAAAAATGTAGGAGGGTCAAACTTGATAAAGCTACTGGAAATTCTGACTGAAACAGGAGAACTTCATTTCTATAAGTGAATTTGTAATAATTTGCAGGCACGTTCAGCTGAAGACTTTGGCTGGACGCTAAAAGTGAACAGTCAACCTGTGGTACCGTTTGATTCCATTTGAACACACGTCCATCTATCTCGAGGAGAAACTCATAAGCACCACGGTGGCACTACGGGGTCTGTGTCAGAACAAAAGGGATTCACGTTCTCCCAGTCACTTTTCTGCACGCCATGATCTCAAAGTAAGACCACTGAAATGGCAGAATTTCCACAACCTCCTGGCCCCTTGAAACTCGAATTTACAACTCAGACACTCCAACACCTAGGGTTTATGGTAGATTACCCTAGAGTCCATGATTCATGGGGTCATACAGCCATCACAAAATGGGCGGCACAAAGCTTCGCAGAAAACATCTGCCTGGCTCTGGGACCCACGTCCAAGGATCTCTGGAAGATACGGCATCTGCCTTGCAGAATGGCATCTTTCATCATCTTTCAATGGTTGTATGATGGTTCCGAGTTCCGCAACAACAATATCCAGTGATTCTTCGTGGTTGAGGTCAGATATGGTCTCTGTCACCGATTCTGTGCTCCGCTAAGTCAAACTGAGTCAAACAAATGGAGCTACTCCGCATATTTTGTTGGATACTCATTACACACATAAATAGATCCAGGAGTCCCCAAATAGATAGAGGCGTGATTACCGTCTTGATGATGATGTTGATGATGATCATGATAATGATGCAATAGGGATTTATCTTTCCAATCTTGACCCCATTACCAAATTCATCCGACGTATAAATAGATAGATGATTTGGGAGAACCACTCTTGAATTACCAAAAACCGTTCCTATAAATAGATACAAACAAAGTTCCACAATTTATCAATGAATTGGCACATCTTGATAGGATTATCAAAGTATCAATAGGTATACGCAGGAATAGCACCCCCAAAGGGTTAGAAATAGCACCCGCAAAGGGTTAGAAGTTTGTAAAATCCCACTGAAATAGTAGTCATTTTAACCTTTTCTATCTTTTGGTGCTGACTTAACATATATATATATAATATTATAATATGTGTGTATGTATATATATATATATGTATATGTATATAAATATGTATATGGAGGTTTCTCAAAATGGGGATCCCCAAGTCACCATGGGTTTCGATATTAAGTCATGGTCTGACTTGGATGATTTCGTACCCCCATTCTAGAAAACTCTCCATATATACCATCTGGTAAACTAACGTACCCAAGGAAAAAAAAAACACATCTTTAATACGTAAATCAACTATGTATAAATGGGCAATTTTCATCAATTTTCAATAGCTATGTGAAATTACCAGAGGGTAGAGTTCCTTTGTCCATCTTTCTGAAAGAACCCTGCGTTTTTCGTAAACGCACCTGGGAATGGCCCGTCACTTCAACGTCCACGTCCTCATCCTCCAAGACGCTGGCATCCCAACTTCCAGGCCTTGGCACGATGAAAATAGAGATGAAACGCTTATGGTTTGGTTCTATTGTTATGATAAGAATATGAACAATTATATTTATGTTAATATGGGTATTGTCATATGATTATATAATATAACATTGCCAATCTGTAATATTTAAAGTTGTTAATATCAATACGGATAATCATAAAACAAAGATATGATTATTGTTGATGTATAATCTGCGTAAATTGTAGTATTTCACTAACCTGAAATGTTGGGCCATTTGGGGATGATTCCACGAATCCTAACTATATTTCCAGTCAGGTCACAGTGATGTTACTATAATTTACCAAGATTAATATAGTGTGTCAATATATAATGACACACATATAATCACATATATTATATATTTGCTCAAACTTGACTTCTTTTGTCATTTAATGTATTTTTTTGAATTGAGATTGAACCACCTCATTTTGTGGGTGCAACAAGTGATGCTGGGCACGCAGCATACCAATTTAGATAGCACTATAATGCTGATCTAAAAACCATTGTGCCAAAGGAAGACTGCAAAGTTTTTTCCACCTTCATGGCTAAATCAAAAAAAAGTCAGTGTACAAATGGGGGTTTCCCAGAATGGGGGTACCCAAAAATGGATGGTTTAGAATGGAAGATCCAATTAAAATGGAGGATATAGGGTTATCCCCATTTTAGGAAACCTCCAAATTGATGGCCAATGCTTGAACGGCAGTCTGCCCATCACCACCGGTTTGAATTCCCAGGCACTGCTTGGTTGCAAAGCGAAGGTCATCTTGACGTGGAGCTAAACGATAGCGGGTTCCAACGCCCATGCTTGCCTGGCGCTCAGCAAAATGTCGGACAGGACATTTCTGGTTGGTGGTGTGGTATACCATGGTATACCTACCCCTCTGCAAAATATGAGTGAGTTCAGTTGGGATGATGACATTCCCAATATATGGACAAAAAAAGGTCCAAACCACCAATCAGCATTTCTGAGTTCTAAGTCCAGTTTCTTGGTGAAAGTCACCGAACCTGTGTGTCCAGCTCATAAATGTTTCAGTCATTCAAAAATAGCCGCTGACTTTGGTGAATCTAGATTTCGCCGAACAGTGCGGACCCCAAATTGTCCAATCATTTTGTCCCCTAGTAATTGGAATACCCTCTGGTAAACTAACATAGCTATTGAAAATGGCCATTTATAGTGGATTTTCCTATTAAAAATGGTGATTTTCCATAGCTATGTTAGTTTACCAGAGGGTAAATTGAAAAATCCATCTGCCAAAAAAAACCAACCTTGGCCCCTTGCAGTGGCAGCCGCAACAGAGATCGGCTCATGGCCCACTTTCAATGGGTGTGAGACATGGCTATTGGTCAAAACCCTGGTACCGTGCCGTGAACCCCTAAAAATAGCTGGGATTTATGGATGTGAATAACCCACTAAAAATGTATCTATAGGTATTGACCCATATCCACATCATGATCCACATCCTTTTTTCGCCACCAGCCAACTCTTGGTGGAACGCGGTTTTGAAACAGGAGTACCGGGAGGAACTTCAGGTGCACAGAAATATTGGCTTCTGAAGTATTGATGCTTTGCTGCGCTTGAAATTCAAAAGGCGGCGCTTGGTTCCGAAAGATAGCGGCATCAAGAACTGCCGTTGCGCAAGCTTGTGAAATAAGGGGGTTCCAATTTTAGTAATTTCAATAGTAATGTGGTTAAAACAATAATAAACCATCCCCAAAATCACCATAAATAGGTGCTATAAACCACAACCAAACGGGGGTAACCCTGAGAATTCGTGGTCAACACAGGACAGATTTCAGCCATCTGTCAATGTCCGCAGATCCGGAGTTCGTTGGTGCTAAGGAACCGCCCACCCAAAGCCATAAGATATAAGCACTACCCTCTTGTAAACATACAAAAAACTATCGAAAATCCTCGTTTTTAATGGGTAAATCACTATAAAGCACCATTTAAAAAAATATGTTAAATTACCAGAGAGTATCACTAAAGATCATATGATCTTCCTATAAAAATGGAACATTGGGGGTACAGTATATTCCATTTTGGGCCAAAGGTATTTCATATCAATGGCTATATGATATAACCCATGATGTCCCCATAGACTGGTTGGCTTTCTACCGCTACGTTGCTACGTTTGTTTGTTCACATCCCAATTCTTGGACAAACGGTCCCACACAGCGATCATCTACTGCCGACACAATATCAATCCATTGGTGAAATCTTCCATTTTTGCTAGATCCCCTTCACTTGCTGATTCACATCCTATTTTGTAGCGGCTAAAATCCACTCAATAATTACATATGTATATATATATCTATCTAACTATATATATATATGTCCAGTATCCATGAACAGCTCACATTGCAACGGCAAGTCGACTACTCCCGTCTTGGACCGTTTCAGCTTCGGGCGCGGCGTTCTTTTTTTCCGGGATCGGAAGGGGAGGCACAGTTCCCATGGCCTGAAATGAATGGATTCAACAGAGAAAATGAATGGATTTTAGCACCAAATTGATATGGAAAATATATGGAAAATATGGTTTAGAAAATATGGATTTTAAAATTTCAGACCCAAATTCTTAGATTTGCGAAGAAGAAAAAAAAACATATAACTATTCCGCCTGCACATTCCAGGAATTGGTCGGGGTTCCTGCAATGATTCTCTCAATTCTTGGAAAATGACCACGGCACAGTGGAGAATTCCTTTGGAAATTGTAGTTTTTTTTGTCAGAAATAGATGATGGTGTACAAAGCTGGAAATGGAACATGACCAGAGTAAAGCGTGTACGTACACATGGGGGACTTATCCTGCCAAATCTGTTTACTGAGCGGGTATAGGAATCACCGCATCAGGGACTTATCCTGCTCCGCCAATGACTTGACCCATGTTACTCTTGGAAGTACTTGGTGGTGCAGTTGAGGTTAATTTCATGGGTATAGCTGTGGTACTATATGGTACTGACCTTTGATAACTTGGAATTTTTAGCATGATTTTTAGCCCCTACACCGTGAAAGATGATGAAGACACAGAAATTAGTGGAACCGCACCCCAAAAGGTCATGTTGACTCAACATATCACTCTGGTTATCACATCTGAAATATGTCCATAATACAATGTGTATATACATACATATATTTATATCATGACGCTAGTAGAAATTATTCTATATTAAGCACGCAATATAAGATATACTTATATGTATAATATATCGCCTACATATCTCGACTTCGTGATATCGTTGGCAACGATATGGTTGTGCCAAGCATCCCACACAAACTCTGATCCAATCGCCACACGCATGGCCTCAGGTGTTCTTGTCAGCTTGAGGCATTCAATTGGGATTGATTAATTGATAAATCTCACTAATATTAACATACCCTCAAAAAGGGTCATCAAAATGAATAGATCGGGGGAAGGGATCACTTCTGGGGGCTCTTTACCAGTCTTCAGGGTCTATCATTCAACAGCTTGAAATTTCACAAGCTGCATCGTTTTAAAACAACCAGCAAGGAACCGCAGAAAAAATGCAAACATCTGCACTTTGAACATCTCCCCCATCCAAGGGCGCCAAGCTATGCGAAGGCACGGTTCGGTACGCCGCGCTGTCGTACTCCACCCGTGCAGCGCGCGAATGTTCGATGGCGAGTTGTGCCAATTCCCAGCGTCCAGCGCGCTCTTGGAGATCTGGGCGTTGGGGGTTGGCCACAACAGGCGTGTTGTACTTGGTTTGCTCTTGTTCCCACAGAGAAGATCAATGTTTTTTGCTTCCATCTTCAATCATCTTCAATCATCTTCATAATTCCAAATACAATAAATACACATCCCCCCCTTTGCCCGGGGGGGGTGGTTGGGGGGGTAAAAATTGACAGATTTCAAAAAGGGAGGGGGTCACCCCTCCAGAAATATTTCTCGGCTAAATTGTGGCATCCGGAGGACCCCCAGCCCTTTTTGGAAGCCAAAAAAAAGTGGCGGGGGTAATGTCTTGCGTAACCCCACCCCCAAATATTCCAGGGTTAAAAGGGGAATAAAGAAACATCCCATCAGTATTATTATATATAAATATAGTATTTAAACAACAATAATAAACCACATTAGTCAACATTAAACAACTGTTTGACGCACGAAACAAACATCCAGGCCACACTTCAGAGAATTCCCGGTCACACTGGCATGAAACGACGCACCAGCGCCTATCAGTGCAGTAAAGGCCACACGATTTGGCTCCAAAGCAGCTTCCAGAGCATCTGAAAAGATCCTCTTGGGCATGCCCTTGAAAGGTTGCTCTAATCACGAAGTGAGTTGGTAAGCTGGGTTATGAATATTTATAAATGATCAATAATTCCATATCTGAGGACGTATAATCCAGACTTATTAACCACTTACTGAATCTTCCAGGTGGTTGCAGCGTCCTGGTGGCCAACGTCCAGCCGTTCTTCCCGGAACCGGAAGTCATGGCATCAGCGGATGTCATTCCCATCCTCTGGCGATGGTCGATCTGTGTCGATGTCTGTGTTGGGAGGTACCCTTTTAGGACCCACAAAGCCTTAGCCAACTGGTGGCTTTCATGGGTTTTTCATGGTTTTTCCATGTTTTTTCGACTTCAAATAGGATTTGTATGGGAATATCATGGGAAAATGCAACTTTGACCATCAATTCTGGGTCACGGGATGTCATGGGTATGTTTGAACATGGGTTCCATGCCCTCCAGTTATATGTTGTCATGAAAAAATATGGAAAACAATGATCAACGATAGGATTTTGGGGCACCCTGTTTTAACATCATTTTGGAAGTCTCAAAAGACTACAAACCTTGAAAACACAAACCAAAAAGCCAAGCGTCGTGATGCTGACCACATCCGCTTCCACGTTCAGTTCTTGCATGGCTCTCAGCAAGCGATAAGCCCGATCTGGCCGCCCAGCGCTGTCTGCGGCCAGCATCCCGGTATTCAAGATGACCTTAAGAGCAGGGCCCCAAAATGTTGAGGCGAATAGATTCCTTGTGGCAGCAACAAAAACAATTGTATAATATTGTATAATATTATGTATCTGTTACATTTCATTACTGTACTCTATAATACTCTATATATGTATGTTGTATCATGCTTAAATTTAAACTATTGAGTATTTTTTGCAGAAACAAGCAGGACATGAATTCGATTCAATTCGATCCACAACAAGGGGCATGCTCTTTGATCCCTTTGAGACATTCGAGACCCTCGGTCACCACAATCGAGGCACTGCAAGACTACCTGACTAGGCTGGTGCCATGATACTGATAGATCTGATTTCTACGAAATCTAAAGGTTTCCCAAAATGGAGGTATCCCAAGTCACCATGGGTTTCAATACTAAAATGCTCTCATTTTGGATGATTTGGGGGTACCCCCATGACTTAGGAAACTGATCCTTTGCTGAGGGAGATGCCATGCGCAGTACAAACGGGGGGAAGGGATCGCTTTCTCTTTGGAAATCATCAATTAACTAGCAAACAAAACAACACACCCATAAAACCCGAAGATTTACTCAGTCTTTAGATATCCTCCAACACCAACATGGGTTTGATAATTGCCTTTACCACCTGACATTCTACTTTATATGCCACCATCAGTAAGATTCCATCATTATCCCATCATGATCGTTCAATCACAACATCTCAATAAACCCATTCATTCATCAATTCGCAATTTCCTGAACCCTACAGCAATCCCTGAAAGATGTTCACGCATCCAATGGGGGATGGCCCCCTACCACCATCTATCATCCAGCATCGCCATAGGTCTTGACCCATCTATCCCATCTCCATCTGGGCCTGAAAAGAGGGTACCCAATCCACGGTAAATCATCATATATTCCAATGATGTCAACTTTCTGGGTATCTTACCTTTCACCTGGCACCACTCACACCACTGGACTTATCTCCTTACATCTAGTTCTATGCCATAACTACAGTATCCCATTATCACACAATCAATCATACCCACTTCTTATCCCAAAATCACATCCCAGTCGAAATATTCATTGATAGGAAACAATTAATTGGTGGTAAAACCAATATTTCCTATTAAACAAACTTCTATAACCCAATCCAATACCAATCCATTGAATCTTACCACCCAACACCCAGGAAAAAACAACAGCCCCTATGTATTACCATATTCATCCATATTCGTAGCTACAAAGCATGGTTTCCTCTTGAGTTTGACTGCAATTTTTTTAATTGTAATCATCACATCCCAATAGAAACGTTCGTCCAATAGGGGTTGATACTATCATCTACCATCCATCTATCACTCTTCAATATATCTATCACTCTTTTCACTCCGGAAGAAGCCCTAACAACACACCTGGCTGCACCAGGCTGCCGTGTTCATGGACACTCGAGGACGTCGCCGCAGGTCTCCTTTGGAGGAGATTCTGCTGGGATTTCACCAACGAACAAAACAGTTTTAATCAGCAAACATCGGGAATTGAACAGAGATGCAAGCGTATAATGGCAACTAATTATCTTGACAATCAAACATGGCAACTTGATAATCAAACATGGCAACTTGATAATCCCTAATGATCTTCTTTGTGAAACTCATCCATAAATTGACGAAAATTGTTGAACACGAATCTGGCCGGTGCAAATACCTGAAATCCAAATGACCTAATTTTGGATGGTTAGCCCAGTATTTTGCAGGTCAAAACTCTCCAAATATGAGGTCAAGCTGTGTCTAGGTAAATATGTACATGAACATCTACACCTACACATGCATATACACATACATATACACAGACCATCTCCACATACATCTTCATATGCATCTTCATATACATACATAACATATAAATACTACATGTACACATATACATATATAACATATATATATACGTGTACATATATATATATGTACATTTACATACCATTTAGTATGCACATAACAACGTAGCTCAAACGTGTATTAATCAAAATTCTGGTTGCCAGTGAAGGAACATCCGAATCAGCTTCCAACTGACCCAACATGGGAACACGCCAACCAGCATCCACATATTTCCTGTTCCTTGTGACAACCATATCTCAGCGTGTGCAGCAAAGATATCTAGCTTCCTTCATATTTATTCACCAACAAAAAGGGTTTGTTTGAGAGTATTGTACCGGCCTGCCACTTCGTTGCCATTCGCTGCTGCGACCAAGGAACGGAAAAGTGCAAGTACTGCAGGCCAATCCGTATTCAGAGCTGCAAGCATAGCTCCTGCAGCGAAGATGGTCTTATTGGAATCGGTATATATAATCTGAATGGTTGGGTTTTGAAGGAACAACTTACAGGAAACCATTTAATTTACACCTTAAGAAAATAGGGATTGGTGTATCAAACGCAAAAACTCCTCCATAGCCAAAGATCAAGCCACTTGGTGCATTCCACTGAGTGTGTTGCTTGTTACTGTATTGTAAGCCTGCTGTATATTGGATATACCCCAATTAGATGAATGGGTTAATAACATTTACCCTCTGGTTATTTAACATAGCCATGGAAAGATCCACCATTTTTAAGTTCGGTAAACCATCTATTTCTATGAGCCATCAACAAACCATGGCAACATGTTAGTCATAACCAGAGGCTATTTTCAGAACTTACAAACTGGGAGACATGGATCCTATGGATCCACCCCAGGCATCTTCTCGGCATCTCCTGCATAGCTCTCAACTTCTACCGGCAAAGCTGCCCAACGCATCTCCGACAGCAGCAGGGAGGCTGCTTCCCAGCGATTGCCCTGCCGACAGGTCAACAGGTCTTGACCGGTCACGGCGGGATCCGATTTGGAGCAGATTTGTCCTTCCACATATGGTGTATATGTGATCTATCTTATAGATTTATAGTAAATTATAGTTACATGATTTACATATATTTACATTATGGGTCTCGGTTTGTCCGACATTGGAATATACCCAAAGTGGCACTTTTGCATGGGAAAGTGATGTTTCACTATCAAATTTGGGGCATCTTATTTTCAAACAAACCTGTATGTTTTTTTTTCCTTTCTAAAGTACTTTCCCACGGTAAAACACATCCAGTTGAGCCAAATCCTCTCTCTCTCTCCGGGTTTGGCTGCTTGTTTGGACCATTTGAACTCAGCTATTTCAACTTGTCCATATTTTACGACAATCGTTTGAGCAACTCTCGTGACTAGTCTATAGTTTCAACATCTTGATCTCCTAAATTTATCATCGCAATCTTGAATTCACTTCTATACAAGCAGCCACTATCTATTGGAGAATTCAACACTAGTTCTACCTTTTGCTTCGACCTGATAGACCTAGATCTGATCGCTGATCGCCGGGATGTCACATAGTGCCATCATCTTGGTGGGGGGTTCACCACCGCATTGCGGTGATGTTGACACCGGCACCAGCGGCACGTTTGCGAAAGAGTGCCGGTTGAAGGTTCCAACAGTGCGAGACGACTGCCTTCCTTTTCTTCGCGCCTCAAATGGTAGTTCCACGACTTGGTGACTTGATGTCCAAAATCAGCGATTTTTTATATGTTTTTTGACCATAAACATCCACCACATCGTTGGCGACACATCTCCGTATGTGATATGAAAAACGATATTCCCCTTCTTGTTGGTATCCCGATTGTATCTGATCAGATTGTTGGCATTGTTGCTTATTGTTGCGTATTCTTGCTCATTCTTACTTAATGTCGTGGTTTTTTCTGTGGGGGTTTATTATCCCCAATTGAGCCATGAAACATATTCCTATCCCATCTCAAAAAACTAGTTGCTTAGTAAATATTCCATAATATTCCTATGGGTTATAATTCCCAAGAATTCGTATAAAACCACCCTTCAACGGAGTAAATGGCTCAATTTTCTTGGACCAATTCGTAGTTCTGCAGCGAGTTCTACTGCGGCGAATTCGAGGTTCGAGGATTTCGTTCCGCACAGCCGCCTGTCCGCAGGCCGAGGATGCTGTCCGCCAGAAAGCCACGTCTGCTCGAGTTCCATCCTGCGCAGGTTGCTGGGCTGGCCAAGGGATTTTCCCATTTATATGTATATATAACTCCCCTTTATTTACTATATATATATATATATTTGGGAAAATTATACTAGTTCACTGATCTGAAATAAGGCTATTTTGGGATAGTTACCCCTTATTAACAATGATTCCAGTGAGGTCGCAGTGAGGTCGTTATAATTCATCCATATATACTGTGGTGTTTTTATCATAGGTGAATAGTTGTTATAGGGTTATACATAATATATATATATACTATGCTATCCGGCCACCCCCACATATTTACATATATATTTGATGTAATTATAGTATATATAATATGTTATCCGGGTCACCCCCATATGTTTACATATATGTATATATATATACTATCTTATCGGGTCACCCACACATACACACACATATATATATATACTTTAAACCCCACAACGCTTCCACTCAGCTATCACAGCAGCAACAGCCGGCTTTTTTCAAAAATTACCCATTTTGACAGAATTACCCATTCACTACCGGTAGCGAGCGTTCTAATTGCTCCCCATCATCCCAATTCTTGACAGAATTCCCCATTCACTACCGGTAGCGAGCGTTCTAAGGAACCCCAATCGTCCCAATTTTTGAAAGAATTCCCCATTCACTACCGGTAGCGAGCGTTCTAAGGAACCCCAATCGTCCCAATTTTTGAAAGAATTCCCCATTCACTACCGGTAGCGAGCGTTCTAAGGGCCCCCCAATCATCCATATGTATAATTGCTGCTTTTAAGATAGATAGCGTTCTAACAGGGAGCGACCGTCGCTCCCTCTTAGAACACTCACTACCGGTAGCGAGCGTTCTAAGGGAGGTTTCCTGTCGCTGGAGCACCCTCAATCTTGCGTTCTTCTCACTAAGACCCCAGCGAAAACACAAGATCATCCCTGGTCCGATGTTTGCCAACCCCCCCTTAGAACACTCACTACCGGTAGCGAGCGTTCTAACAGGGAGCGACCGTCGCACCCTGTTAGAACACTATCTATCTTAGGGAGCGTTCTAACAGGGAGCGACCGTCGCTCCCTCTTAGAACACTCACTACCGGTAGCGAGCGTTCTAAGGGCCCCCGATCATCCCAATTTTAGAAAAAATCAATTCAAACCCCAATTCACTACCGGTAGCGAGCGTTCTAAGGAACCCCGATCATCCCAATTTTTGAAAAAATCCACTCAAATCCCAATTCAGCTGCTGTTGCTGCTGTGATAGCTGAGTGGAAGCGTTGTGGGGTTTAAAGTATATATATATATGTGTATGTGTGGGTGACCCGATAAGATAGTATATATATATACATATATGTAAACATATGGGGGTGACCCGGATAACATATTATATATACTATAATTACATCAAATATATATGTAAATATGTGGGGGTGACCCGATAGAATAGTATATATATATATTATGTATAACCCTATAGCAACTATTCACCTATGATAAAAACACCACAGTATATATATATATGTATATATACTGTAATATATGTAATGTTAGTGACATTCCATTATATATATATGTAATTCCATGTACATGGGATTATATGGGATATAAATGGGGATATTCAGGCATACAATCGTTTTATAGGATGTTATGTTTTTTAACCTTCCCCATTCATATTAAACATCCCCAAAACCATGGTTTAGTAGGGGATGCAATCACAACCTCCCTAGATATCCACCGATTGACACCCCAAGTTGTATGGGTCAAAGAATGTTAAAGACATCCTGTTGACATGGATTGCTCTTTTGAATCATTTCACACATATTCTCTCGTCCCTTACCCATACACTTATACAGTTCACTGAGGTCACCCTGAGCAGTGTCAATTCCCCCTGGATTCTCAGAAGCCCATAGAAGTTCAGTCCGTACCCCGCTTCCATCCATCAACCATACCAACCTTCATTTTCTGGATATCACTATGTTTGCAGGTTTCAACCCTATTCTTATGAAATACAACTGTATAGAACCATCATATATGGGCTACAAAGATTTTTGAAACCGTGAATCCCCCTTTTGTTGCATGCTTCTATCGCCATTTTGCATCATTTCGATAAAACTTAATAAAAGTTTCTTATTGAATGCTATTGTTAATGGCAATGCGATGGTCCATCGATACTATGTTAATTTAAACATATTTGTCCCTTTCACATGCTATTGTTAATGGTATCCAATTAAAAATTGTCCCAAAATCACATGGTCCCACCACCAAACGTAGCAAGTAAATAAAGTGCCGCGCCTGTCGCAGCCCCTGTAGCACTTCCAGAGCTCTATCCCACTTGGCCTTGGTGGCGCGGCTTAGACAGCTGATGATTCAATGGTTAAAGGTGTTTTTTGGCAGCGAAACTTTAGGGATTTTATGGACTGAAAAAAAACGGGAACATTTTTAGGCATTTTTATGCTAAACAAATACGATTTCACCTGCAAAAAATAGGTCTTTCTTTTTTTGATGGGAATCATTGGGGACATGTTTTTTCCGCTGCGGGGTGCATTTTTGACATTGCAATGAGCGTGGCTGGAACCGTGGCATACCTCCATTTGTGGCCATAAAATAGAGGAGAAAATGATGCTAAACTATTGGACGGAATGGACTACCCAATGTTCTTTTAAACGGATGTGGGTCTTTATTGGTTCCCATCAATTTCCATCAAGTACTATGATCACTTGTGATGACTGGACTTCATTCAATAGATTCATGGGAACATCTAGCAGAACTATCCTTTTAATCACCAAATTGCTTGGGTTTTTCTGGACAGGGTCCCTTAAACCAATTCTAGGATTTGTTGGGACCTCTTCAAATTTACTGGAATGTGGACCCTGAATAAATACAGATGAGTCTTGGTTATTTCACAATGGTACCCTGCTCACATCCCAAGCATGAACGTCCCACATAGGAACCATTGAGATGGGCATAGTTGGCATAGTTCACCTACCTGGTCCCGCCATCAGATTGAAGCACCAATACATATAGGAATATCACCAATAGATCAATGGCCAATTCAGGAACCTAAATTGGAGGTACCTACCATATATAAGGCCAATGGCCTAGGTAAGGCCTATGTAAGGGAATATACCCCACAAAATATGGCCTTATATGGTACAGTACCTCCATTTTAGGGTCCTGGAATTCCCATTGAATAGAACTGTATGTAGGAGATTGACTGATTTTTCATGCTTCGGCCATGATCTACCACCATTGTTTTTGTGGATTCACGATTTTTCAACAAAGAAAACACCCCGGGGGCCAAGGACCGACACTCAACACAGGAGGAGAACATCCAATTTGACACGGAAGTGGTGCAGAACGAATTAATTGACCATTTTTGGCAAAAGTGCAGTATCGCATTAAGCAAAAAAAAACTCACGAAGCCAGATTAGAAACACGGAGAATTCTAAATTCAAATCATTCCCAATCCTCTTTGAGGCAATTTTTGGAATACATTGGATGGTTTCTCAATGATAACTAGCCGACTAGCCATTTATGATGAACAGAGGTCCAGAATGTGGCAAGAATTCTGATCCAGTTGGTGCTAGCCCTCTGGTAAATTCAATATAGTCATTGAAAGTTATCACCACTTTTGAAACGCAAATCATCTGTAAATGGGCTATGGCAATGTAATATAGTCATTGAAAGTTAAGTTATCACCATTTTTGAAGGGCAAATCATCTATAAATGGGCCATGGCTTCCAGTTCGCAAACTGTTGAATGCCCAGAGATGCCCAGATGGTTTTTCTCTGCTTGAAAGTAATAGCATGGCAACCGCAGCTTTCAAGGGCAGCAGTTGATTTTCCAAAATAATCCTGATAGGAATTCACAGCATGACATCCATGGGAAATCCCCTTTCTGAATGGAGGTTTTCCCCTATATAGGAATCTCCTCCATTCAAATTCAGATGGATGGATTTTTCGTTGCCACAATTGTCATCTCCAGCAAGCTCTGCGCCCATTTCGATGTGTCACTGGGGTATACCCCCATGGCCATGAAATAATGGGAACATGATTATTATTGTAATCACTAATTTCAGGGATCTTCACAACATTTTCACACAAACCCACATCTCAAATTGTTGATAAAATATCTCACTCTATCCCCAGTCTATCCTCCCAATCTTCAGGCTGGAACACAGCTAAGTCGCATTTATGTCCCATCTATTCCCAACATGGCGATATCCGCGATCTATCCCATGAAAAATATCTCTGAAAAATTTATCATATTCAGGTAGAACACTCATTTCACCCATTTCTATCCATTTGGCCTTGTTTTCTAGGGTATCCCCAAATCCAATGGTATCCAATGGTCATCATTTTCCAAGGATATCCAATGGTATTTCCAATGGAAAAAAACACCAATTTTCAGAGCCATGGACCGTCACCAAGGCTCTGCCTGCATCAAATTCCAGGGCATCGTTGCAGGCATCAAACCCGAGGCGCTTGCCATGCTGGCCCCGTAGAGGACCTAGCGAATCCCCAAGTACAGACCCGATAAAGCATCAAACCATCGATAGATAGATCAATAGATAGATATAGATATATAGATATATAGATAGATAGATATGTAGATCTATAGATATATAGATATGTAGATCTATAGATATATAGATATATAGATATGTAGATCTATAGATATATAGATATGTAGATCTATAGACATATAGAAACATAGATATAGATATATAGATAGATAAATATATATAGATATATAGATATATAGATAGATAGATATATAGATAGATAGATAGAGATAGAGAGATAGAGAGATAGAGAGATAGAGAGATAGAGAGATAGAGAGATAGAGAGATAGAGATAGAGAGAGATAGAGAGATAGAGAGAGAGATAGAGAGAGATATAGAGAGAGAGAGAGAGATAGAGAGAGATATAGAGAGAGAGAGAGAGATAGAGAGATAGATGGATAGATAGATGGATGGATGGATGGATAGATAGATAGATGGATAGATAGATAGATGGATAGATGGATAGATGGATAGATGGATAGATGGATAGATGGATAGATGGATAGATGGATAGATGGATAGATGGATAGATGGATAGATGGATAGATGGATAGATGGATAGATGGGTAGATGGATAGATGGATAGATGGATAGATGGATAGATGGATAGATGGATAGATGGATAGATGGATAGATGGATAGATGGATAGATGGATAGATGGATAGATGGATAGATGGATAGATGGATAGATGGATAGATGGATAGATGGATAGATGGATAGATGGATAGATGGATAGATGGATAGATGGATAGATGGATAGATGGATAGATGGATAGATGGATAGATGGATAGATGGATAGATGGATAGATGGATAGATAGATAGATAGATAGATAGATAGGGAGAGATCGGGAGAGATGTACATAACAGAAATATTTATATAATGTTATATGCATATCTACAAGTTAGAATAGCCCTTGCCCATCTTCCTATCCTCCACAAGCGCAAACATACAAACAACATTTCATAACAACCAAAGCCCCTAACAAATCATAACAACCCCAGCACAACCACAAAACCAATGAAATATCAATCAACCGAGACAAGAACAAAACCATAACAACCAATCCACAAAATAAATCAAAACAATCCCCCATCACAAGAATTAATCCCTTCCTCCTATTACTAAACCCCACCCAAATACTAAAAACTAGTGTCCATCTCCAATTTTGGACAATTTCAGATTGGCCAATTTGACTTTTAATTGATCCCCTTTAGAAAACAATTTAAAAATAAAGCTACCATTTGTGGGTTTTCCTCCTTAATACTAAAAACTAGTTCACCCCGGGGTGTTTATTATTAGGGTCCGTCCGATTTTTTTTAATTTTTTATTTTAAGGTGTTTAATTTAGTATTATAGGGGGAAGCTTCGAAATCCAATTTTTGGCAATATTTTAATCGCGTTATATAAAGAAATTTAATTGATTTTGAGATCGGAAAAAATAGTTTTTATTATTAAGGGTTTTAATTTAATATTAGGAGGAAAGCTTCGAAATCCAATTTTTGGCAATATTTTAATCGCGTTATATAAAGAAATTTAATTGATTTTGAGATCGGAAAAAATCGTTTTTATTATTAAGGGTTTTAATTTAATATTAGGGGAAAGCTTCGAAATCCAATTTTTGGCAATATTTTAATCGCGTTATATAAAGAAATTTAATTGAGTTTGAGATCGGAAAAACATAGTTTTTATTATTAAGGGTTTTAATTTAATATTAGGAGGAAAGCTTCGAAATCCAATTTTTGGCAATATTTTAATCGCGTTATATAAAGAAATTAGATTGATTTTGAGATCGGAAAAAATAGTTTTTATTATTAAGGGTTTAATTTTATTAATAGGGTTCCCTAATAATAAATACCCCCCTAATACTAACAACTACCTGCCGTGTTTATTATTTGGGGGGGACGTTTAGTATTAGGAGGAAGGGATTATTCAACAAACCAACCAATAAGATTGTTGAAGAATTCATACCCAAAAATATTCAGTGAACCAATCATCCCCATAAAAACTCAACCAATCAACCATCATAAAATCCATCATAAAATAAGGGGGCAAGGTCTCCCTTATAGAGAAACCGAGTCATGTCGAACTAAGGACTAGACTGAATCTGCACGAACTCCTGCCGCCAATGCACTGACTGCACCGACTCTACTGTAGAACCATGTAGAAACGACTAGTGATGACCTACAGGTATCATGAGAATACAAACCCATTGATCCTGTTCAAAGTATGACGAAGTAAAATCCACATGAAAAAGTTAACCCACAAAAATCGAATGAATGAAATAACAAAAAAAGGTGGGCCGAAAAACACAGAGCCATGGGAAGTCATACAAAACAGGCGAAGATCAGGTGACTCGGATCATCCTCCCACACTTACAAATCAACTCAAAGACATTCAGAGACTCTACCCTGGCAATAAAAGAGTGACTTGACCTCTGGATCTGCGCGATGGATTCAAAGGGAAGTAATATCAGGCAATCTCATGAAATATCATACCGCACTGTCGCACTGTGGATATTTCCCAAGGTGGAATGCAGATTGTCCAACTCAGATGTTTTGAAGTACCGCTCAAGATAAGGCATCCTTTCTTCAAACCATTTGAGCAGTGAAACCTGAAATGTCATTCCATGAAATAGTGGTTGATGATGGTGGATTTCGAGTTCATGATCATAATTCATGACATTTCATGACAATTCCCAATGGTTGGCATTTTTTTCCGAGGCTATACTAATCATATCTACCCTCTGGTTATTTAACATAGCCATGGAAAATGGATGAAAATGGCCCATTTATAGATGATTTTCCCAGCTTAATACCTCCATTTATAAGGGATTTTCCATGGCTATGTTAGTCATAACCAGATGGGAATCAAAAATTACTCTACTTCGTGTGATCCCCACCATGACATGTCAGGACGTATATTTGGACATATATTTAGTATATTCTGACATCCTATCTGACATATATTCTGGCATATATTCTGGCATTCTATCTGGCATATATCCTGACATTCCACCTGGCATTCTATCTGGCAGTCTATCTGGCATTCTATCTGACATATTTTCTGACATTTCATCTGACATATATTCTGGCATTCTACCTGTCATTTATTCTGACATATATTCTGGCATTCTATCTGACATATATTCTGGCATATATTCTGGCATTCTATCTGGCATTATATCTGACATATATTTTGGCATTCTATCTGACATATATTCTGGCATATATGTTGGCATTCTATCTGGCATTATATCTGACATATATTCTGGCATTCTATCTGACATATATTCTGGCATATATTCTGGCATTCTATCTGGCATTATATCTGACATATATTTTGGCATTCTATCTGGGCATATATGTTGGCATTCTATCTGGCATTATATCTGACATTCTATCTGACATTCTATCTGGCAATTTATCTGGCATTCTTTCTGGCATTCTTTCTGGCATTCTATCTGGCTATCTGGCATCCTATCTATCTGGCATTCTATCTGGCTATTCTTTCTGATTCTATCTGGCATTCTATCTGGCATCCTATCTGACATTCTATCTGGCATTCTATCTGGCAGTCTATCTGACATTCCTACATGAGGTCCGGCAGGGAACACTTGGCGTGGATACTCGCAGTTGAGGTCCGGCAGGGAACACTGGGCGTGGATGGTCGTGGTTGAGGTCCGGCAGGGAACACTGGGCGCGGATGGTCGTGGTTGAGGTCCGGCAGGGAACACTGGGCGTGGATGGTCGTGGTTGAGGTCCGGCAGGGAACACTGGGCGTGGATGGTCGTGGTTGAGGTCCGGCAGGGAACACTGGGCGTGGGTGGTCGTGGTTGAGGTGCGGCAGAGAACACTGTGGATCGCGGGTTGCAGTTGAGCAAGGACGACGAGGACGACGAGGACGGCGAGGACGACGAGGAGGACGAGGAGGAGGAGGAGAGGAGGACGAGGCAGGAGGAGGCGGAGGAGGAGGAGAAGGAGGAGGAGGACGAGGAGGCAACTGACATAAAATCTAACAACCCTCACCTGGCAGGTGGGGAAAAACCAACAGGGCTACCCGCTACCCCCTGTTAGGCTGCAGATCAACCTTGTCCCTCGAGATGTCGCAGGGATCGCAGAATCTCGGAGCAAGACCTCCATTGGCGATTCTCTCTGCATGCGTTGATGGCTTTCCGGTACAGCCTTGGTGGAGCCACAGCACCAAAAAAGCGCTGTGGGTCACAGGTTGGAACCTAAATCCATGGAACAATATGGAACATCATGGAACAATATTATCCCGGATGGATGATTCCATGTTTCTTGGACCAATCTTTTCGAGAAAAACGGGGCGGAATACGAACTCTGAACTCGTGACGACCCAGACCAGAGATCTGGGTCGACTGCTGCCAGTGATTTTGGAGGTTTTTCCAATATGAAACAGCCATGACGCAATCTTGTCGCTCCTTGAAACATGCAAAAAGTGCTTGTTTGGGATTCAAGATACAGCTTTAAAATATTTTAAAATGATCCGTGCCCTGCAAACATCTCGACTCCACCCTCGGGTCGATGTCAGAGTGTAGCGCTTGGATGTGCATCTTGGATAGGCACTCCAGGAACCCCGGGCTATTCGATGCTATCCGAGGTGAACAAATTGCCAAGTTCCAGTTGCACTGATCTTCTGTCTCAATAGACAAAGTATATCAAATGATGATGTACAGGGTGGAATTTTACCATGATGTCTGAAAATGAGATGGTAACCCCCTTTTTAATGGCAATTCTACTAGTGACTAGTGAAGTGGACTTTTTTGCCAGTGGATGCCATGAGTTAAACGGAAGAACCGGAAGAACCATGAGTCCTACTGCTCAATGGTCAATGTAAAACGCTCTGATATGCGGCATATGCGGCATATGCGGCATATGCGGCATAACTTCATCACGATTCAGTTGTGGTTTTTACCCCAAGTTTTTTCAGATGAAATCCATGGTATTCCATGGTCATGTTCGACAGGATCAGCATCTGCCCTGTGGGGATCGCAGGATCGCAGTCACCAGCATGGCGGCTATGGTGATTTCCATATTTCACAGGATGAAATGGGGATTTCATGGGAATTTCAATGTAAGATTTAAGGGCATTTTCTGGGTAACAAACCCAGGTACGCCCGTAAACAACATCACAAAAGTTTCTATCATTCTCTTGGGAGGTTAGATCATGCTAGATCGATCCACAAGGTTGGTTGGTTTCAGAAAGTTTCTGCTGTGAAACCATCCACTTCTGGATTATTCTGCGGGCGAATTGTTTTTGAACCATACCGGCAATTTTTTTAAAAATGGAGCCAACGAACATGGTTTCAAACATGATTTTACCTTTCTTCTGGTCATGAGATTCCAGCAAATTATTCTTTGGGCTGTAGATATATGCGCATTCTCAATAGGCTCAAATCTCATTCATCCGAGGCTCAATTCCACAATTGTGTTGGATAAATCAACTTATTGTTGGCTTCCTCCTCCATCATGTTGGTAGATTACAACTATTTTGATTGGTGCTATCCCCATTTCATAGCTTTTCTACCGGACTATTTTGCCCTCCTCCGAAAAAACCACCTGCTACGAAATCACCACGTTCTCCTTACAAGTTCGCCTCCAAGTTGCGGTAGATCCAACGCGATACCCTCCTCTCTGGCGACCTAAGTTGCAGTTTTGAGGTTGAAATCATGTGGCCATTGCCTGTTTAGATGTCATAGATATATCTTTAACAAAGGACCCTCCAAGAAAATCAAGAAAATGGAACAATGAAATCAAGTGACATCAAAAAAGTGGTGAAACAAAAGGCACTTGCTACGGGAACACTGCCCTCCAATTATATTCCCAAGTTCGTAAACCCCACTTGGGAATGCTTTATTATTGGGTTTACCATTATACAACCATTATACGACCATTATACAACCATTGATAACCATTATATTCCCATTAAAGTCCCGATAACATCCCATTAACATCCCACTAAATAAGAATTGAACAACAAACACATATCATCACATATCCCTCAGTATATTCCCATTAAATCTCAGCATCTTCATTTCCAATCTTTTTGAAATCCCATTTAAATCCCATTAAATCCCATTAGATCCCATTAAATCCCATTAGATCCCATTAAACCACCAGTAAATCACCATACCAAAGGGAACCGATCGACCCAGATCGACCCAGATTCCCAGTACCATCTTGGCTCCGCACGGCCAAAACACTGGTGGATTCGCGCCACTGACCCCTGAAGCCATACTCGCTGATGGCCTCGCGTGCCGAGTAGAATGGTGGCTAGCAACCTTGCGCTATATTAGATTAGTGTGACTACATTTAAAATGTATTGTGTATATGTAATATGTATATGTATATATGATATATATGATATATATATATATATATCATATGTTTATATTATACTGTATTAAATTATATTATATTAAATATAATATATATTATGTATACTTACATCATCATCTGACTGCTCATTTTTCCTGCCCTTCAAGGCTTCAAGCGCGGCAACTTTGCCTCCACGTATATGTTTTGGGGTTGCAACCCATGTGTTGTGCATGTTTATAAGCAATGTGCAACCATAGTGAGTTGTAACCAGAACAATGTTGCTATAATATGGTTGATATCCCCTTGTGCCACTTCCAAACCACTTACTACATATTACTAGATCGGACCCCATGACAAATCCACTACAACCATGGATTTCCAGATTGAATAGAACGAATTGGAGGGTGAATACCATCTGGGAAACCAACTTGGAAATGGACAAACCATGAGCAGGAGCATTTTTGATGGAACAGGTCTTACCCTTCTATCTTGGTTTCCCAAAGAGTGAGTCTTGTTACCCATCAAAAACTAAATCTTTAGCTGGTTAGTTGGACCAAAGTAGCCATCCTGTCACTTCACCCAGTTACATCCCATGATATTTCCACTATTAAGCAGTTATTGATATTCATTGTTAGTTGTATATCCATATTCTTACCATATTCTTGATGGGATTCAACCCCGCATCTTGTCAGGTTTTTTAAATACCCATCCAGTTTATTGGTAATCCCGGAACCCTCGTAACCATACAAACCCTGATTTGGTAATGGATCTATCGACCTATTCAATTTTTGTACCCTATTGGGGGGTATTTGACAGTACAATGGTCTGCCCCTGTTATAAGTTGGCTTATAACTAACTAGATAGAATGCTCTGGAATGCTACAGACATATCTAGTATATATATATACACGTATATATATAATATCATTATATATCTATCAAATCTACCATTTTTAGCCAATCGTTAGTCAATCGTTGCACCAACTTGGCACGGTGCACGTTGGGGAATCCGGATTCTCCAGCCGCCTGACTGCAGAGCTTTAACGTCTCTGTCCATGGCAGGGCCATCCATGGCCATCGCTCAGAACCCGCAAAGTTCAATCACGAACTTTGAATCGTCGTCAAAAAAACAACAAAAAGGGGCAATTGTACAAGAAATATCAGATTTGTTATGATTTGTTGTCCTTATCATCAATATTTAGCACTCTTACTAATTTCATTTCTTTTGCGGAATTGCCAAAAGTTGGGACAAGCCAATGTAAGAACATTGTAGGTCAATGCATTTACATTGTTGTGTGGCCGGCTACAGTAAAACAGAGGAAAGTGTCACTTTCACTTTCGGTCTTGCACGGGATTTCCACAGAAATCCCTCGATCTGTAGCGAACCATGCGAAGCTGTCAAATGGCTATGGCTAAAGTATGCTAAAGTGAGGCACCAAGGGACCTACAAAACCAATCATTCTTATAGTATTTACCCAAGCTGTCGAGGAACACCTCCCTTGACCTTCAATGGCCACTCAACATAATGGCCCAGAGTTTCCAAATAATTCTACAGGCTCATGAGTTTTTTTAAATCCATTTTACCAATTACCAATTTAACCTTCCATTGACATCGGGATATTCCCTAATGTTCCCATCCATGCCGTTAGCACTGAAATGGCCGGTCCGCCTTTTCTTTTCGGCAGCTTTCTGCGCAGTGCATTGTCATTCAAGTGTCTTTTTGCAAAAGAGTCTGGCGTTTGGAAGGTTCATCGGTTGGCTGTGGACCTGTGGACCTGTGGACCTTGCAGAACACCCAAATCTGTCACGTCGATCTTTTTCTTCAGAGCCATCCTGTCCACAATTTTATTATGTTGGAGATCGAATCTGCAGATGTGCATCTGCTAAAGAGTGAACCTTGCCAACCTGCCAAAAAAACCGTGAGTGTAACACTCCTCAGGAGAGGTTTCCCCGTCTTTGAAACTACCTGGGTTGACCCGCTGCCGTCACAGCATGTCACAGCCCAGTATCTTGAATGGCACTATCGACCCCAACATGTGGGGGTCAAGGGTTTCTTTACGCTGATCATCGCTGTGGAAGATCCTTCACGGCTTTCAAGATGGTGGTCATTGCCTCCTTGAGATCATTGGGCATCTCTTCACCTAATCAGAATACCGAAATCCCAAGGGATCAGCTGGATGACGTAAAAAAAACACATGTCTAGACATTCATGACGAAAAAAGGAACAACTCATGACGATTCCGAACATGACGAGATTTCCCAAAGAGTACTTCGGCCATTTAGGGATAACAGATTTCCGCCACAACCATCGGTCACATGGGGTCGCTATACGAATAGAGTCTACACTCGCTGGGCATGGCATCACAACACCTGGTTCACACGATTTCCATGCTACTGGGCCCGGTGGTCCAACTATCCTCTGGCAATCTCTGGTGTAATTTGGCACCATTGGACAATGAAATTACCCATTTGCTTCGATGACTCACCTCTTTCTTTTCAAACTGTCCATGGTTTCCATGGCTATGTTGGATATGATATGAGATGGTATATAGTACATTATAATACAATTCCCGGAAGATCCCATTAAAACATATTAAAACCCCAGAAAATCCTCATGAAAGCACGCTACAAAACCGTCTCAAAACACCAAGCGCGGCGCGCGCCTTTCACATGCGTCACCATCCATTTGGGTTGGATGTTGGCTTCCTCCGCGACCGAATCCTTCTTCACCTCATCGGGGATGGATCCAACCACCTATATCACCAAGAGTGACAAACGCAACAGCTACACTTTTTTGATCTTTTTTGTCGCTCAACAATGATCAGTTCATCTGCCTTTTCTTACTTCTTTTACTCAAAAAACACATACCATCTGGTTATTTAACATAGCCATGGAAAATAACACACTTATAGATGTTTTTCCCGGCTACAAACCTCCATTTATAAGGGATTTTCCATGGCTATGTTAAATAACCAGATGGTGGGGGTGGTCCTGACAGCCAAGCAGCGGCTTTCACCATCATTGGAATCGACTTGCTGAAATCCAAGCCCAATGGCTTTTGCTGAAAATCCACCTGGCGCCATTTTCGAAACACCAGAAACTTGGCAAAAAAAGGCAAGATACCCTCTGGTAAATAAACATAGACCCTGGCGGATAGGGGTTGGAAGACTAGTTTCCATTAAAAATTAGTGATTTTCAGGGTCTATGTTTATTTACCAGAGGGTAAGTGCATACCCCCACTATCTCATACTACTTCACTATTTCCACGGGGAACATGATGTTCTATGATGTTCTGAACCATTGGAATGTGCCACTCAAGCAAACCCAAATTAAGGATTCATAATTTCGAGCCATACTCCGATGGGCATGGTTCCAGAAGGCTTCTGGTCCCGTCTGCAACGCCAGTTTGAGTGGGTACTAGTTCCACTCAATAAGTGGGTATATATATATGTATATATATATATATACCGTAAATTACAAAGGTCATATGCAAACTTTTGTGGTATAACGGTAAAGCGATGGTGACACCCTCTAATAACCCCAACATTGTGGGCCTGTTGCTGGTCATATCATCGGCACAAACCTTATTAGTTTTTCAAATCGATCGTTTCCTGAATCTTCGGCATTATGTGTGGGGCTTGGGTCATGTGGCTACTGATTCAACGAGGAAATTCAACAAAAAATACAAAGAAAAACTCAGTCTCACTTGAGACGTACAAACGCAGATTCCCACCATCAACGTGGTTGGCCATATGCATGACTAATCCTGATGGTATCCCTCTTAACCCGTCTATCAAGATCACCAATGGATGTCCATCGGCTGTGAAGGTTTATAACATTTCAATACGTTTCTGAACGCATAAAGTCTGAGAGAAACGCGAGAATTCATATTGTGTTAGACGTAATGAGAAATATGTTAGAATAAATGCCATTTGCCCAAGTTAAACATCAATAAAGTAATTAAAGTTATCAGAATGCCATTGTTTAATGTTTAAATATATTAATAAACCAGAAATGTTCCCTATTAAAACACTCCATGGAGCCAGTGAAGTAGCTACGGTCATCCCCCGCTCACAATTAACGCCAAATCGTGCATGGCACCCATCCCAGTTTTGAGATCTTCAATTCGTACCCAGCGGAAAATAGTTGTTGTATATGTTTATATATTCACATCGCATATTTGATGTATATATTATATATATATTGTATATTGCAGCTGTGATTTTCTAAAGTGCAAGTGCAACACAATATATGCTATGCTACTATGTTGTATACCAGTGCATTACTAACTGTTGTATATCAAGTATGTTTCTCATAGAACAATATTGTATGATTCATTGGAATAGTATGGAATAGTATGGAATAGTATTGACTAGTATGGAATAGTATGGAATAGTACGGAATAGTATGGAATGGCTGTGAAAATATACATCCTCATCAGGCACCTCCTTCACAGAACCATCGGGCAGCTTGAAGGTAAACACTGCACCCGCGGCAACAGCGGGAACGCTTTTGGCCTCGAAGTCTCGGCATGTGTAAAATACATTAAAATAGACTAATATATGATATGTTTCATCATATCAATAACATTCAATAACCATGTCATATCATCTATATTTATATCTCTTATCCACAGTTAGTCCCTATATAAATATCATTGAAATATCTATATCTATAAAATCAGAACCACCAAGAAGATACACTCCATCTCCATTCTTCACCATCTCAATGATCGTAGCCACAAGGCAACGGCCAAGCTGCCAATCCATGTAAAATTCATGGGAATATAACCATCCATGATGGAGTTCAATTGCTTAAGGCAATGGCTACTTGGAACGTACAGTCCCCGGTACCCGTCGTGGAAATCATGGTTTCAGGACGAATAAATTTTTATCAATCTCCAAATACTCGAGCATTAGTACTTATTGTTGTTAACTATATAATATAATGTACATTGCGGAATCATTGGTTTGGCAATGTAGTAGCTGTTGTAACTAAAAGTACCGGACCTTTTATATACGTCCAAAAAAAATGCTACTCCTAAAGGAAACACTAATCCATGGGTCAAAATTGGTGTCTGAAATAGGTGATGTACCCCTAATTCAATTATGTCATTGGTTCATCTCCCATTTTCGTTGGTGAAATCCCATGATCCCATGAAAGATCCTCATGAAATCCCCCCAAAAATCCCACATTTTCCCTGTGAAATCCCATCGTTTTAACCATGTTTTTCAGGCTGCACCCGACCCCTAAAATGGCATCACGGCCACCCGAACCCCAAGCCTTGAAACTTGATACCTTTTCTGCATCTGCCAAAGTTGGTAGCGCTGCAACCTCCTCCACTGGCCCTTCAGCTTTCCTAGCGGAAAGAAATATGGAGTTCCATTGCAAAAGTGCACATCTATATATATATATATATACTGTATGATATATATATATATATATAGATAGATAGATAGATTGATAGATAGATAGTCTCAAAAGAGGTTGGTAGGATCCTGAGGCCAGGAAATTCCAATAGAACAATAGAAAAGCGAGGTCGCCAAGGTGGTTGTGAAGTGGAAGAGGAGGGGCCCTAATGAACCACCAAAACCATCACGCAAGTGACCGCACTCGCTTTTCCTCTATGGGTCAAGCAAAGAAGCATAAAAGCAGAAGCAAGGAAAAGCAGAAAGCAGAAAAGCAAAAAACCGGGAAATAGAAAAGCAAAGAAGCAGGGAAACAGAAATCCAATTTTTGCCAAAAACGGAGAAACAAAACAACCAAAAAAATAGCCATCCTTTTCAATATGTTTTAAAACATAGCTTCAGTTGCCTGGTTGTGTTTTTTTTTCCACAGTGAAACAGTCAAGGGAAATGATCCAATCCGACACTGACAGATTGCAACTGGACCGCTACGTTGGTGATGGGCAGAAGCGGGACTCCAAGGAGTTCTCTCATAGACTGCCTGGTTGGTGGTTGACCTACCCCTCTGAAAAATATGACTTCGTCAGTTGGGATGATTCTTCCCAACATATGGAAAGTCATAAAAGTATATAAAAATCATGTTCCAAACCACCAACCAGCTGCATGTTTACCACCTGTTTTCTTGGGCATCCCTAATCTGGGTCCCATTGGATCGAGGCACCCATCGCAGCAAACGCACAACATGACCGATTGGAAACTCTCTTTCCTTCAACTCTAGCTAAGACTGAAAAGGCGATGGCTGCACCAAAACATCCAGAGCCGGATCCGGGCGGCCATTTTTAAGCCGTGCTCCTGACCCAATGATACCGTACCTGGGGGTTGTCTCAAAATGTTGGGAAAACCATGGAACAGTCCAAAATCTCATAGTCATTCATAGTAGTCATAGTTTCGGTATCATCATTTTCTTGTGAAAACGGGCCGAACTTGGGGGTAGACAAACCCACATGGCAAATCGTTGTAAGTGGCATTTTACGCATCGATTTGTCAATTCCGGCAACATCTACTCCAAGAATTACAGTACGTTGTTCCATTGGCCACCTGATAGTAAACAAAAATTAGAAAGTTGATCTATAACTAAGCTAATTAGGATTTACGCAGAAATACCCACAATAGGTTTATCAAGCACTATAAACCAAATCACTATTGGGGGGAGCCCTTCATGCACCCCATCCTCATCAACCGCCCCAGTGTTGAAGCTTCCCCCCCTTTTTCTTGAACGTTGCAGCAGAGCCGAGCCCAGCCGCCTCAGGGTTTGTAAATCAACGCCGGCAGCGTTGACCATTTCAAAGGGATAAATTTCAAGTGGCACGCTCAAACAAAGTTTAAGCTTGCCAGGTGGATCTTATTTTTTTGCAAGTTATGTTTTTGTAATCTCCACCTGTCAGCTAAGCGATCGCCAGATTGTTTGGCGCCCAGGTGTGTCTTTCAGAGGCACCTGGAGCATATGGGAGTTTCTTTCGTTTCTTTCTCTCTGTCGCTTTGGGGATCTATCAACTATCAACAATTATATCAACATCTCTCTTCACATCGAAGTAAATTATGAAACTTATGAGCTGTACTTAGACTTAGAGTGAAACACTCAAGCTGGAGCTCTGAAAAGAATGGCAAATGGTGTCTGTGCCAACCCACGGTGCAGTGTTACGTCAACCCTGTGGGTGATTAGCTTGTCACAGCCACTAAAGATTTGACAGCATGGTCGCAAGCTTATCATTAGATGGTCAACAAGTTATCAAAAACCTATAGCGACCCAGCTTTGTGGTTAGAGATTGGGCAGAGGGACAAGACATTTTTCATGTGGCAGTTTGGGCAATTGTGCAGTTGGATGCAACCTCGCAAAAAAAATGACACAGACATCTGAACCGAACTCTTGGAACTCGCTACACAGCCAATCCAGTCCGAAAAAACCTTCGGTGTGTGCGTACACCACAACCTCTGGCTCGGTTCAACACTTCACTGGCAACTCTGGAGCACCTGCAATGGGCACAGTTCATTAACAGCGGGCTGGGCGGATTTTCATCATGCAGTGACCAGCATTGGTGGCCTTGTTCACAAACTTCCGGGCGTCAAATGTTGGGGTCTGGTTTGGTGTCGAGATGTCTCACCTGGGCTCCGAGCATCACTGATGCAGAACAGGTCATGTGAGATGTCGTCGTTTCAACTTATGCAGGGTGGCCCCTGAGGACGAAAGAGATGGAGCAGGCAACAATAGGCAACACCAAAGAGCAAAGACCAGAACGCGGAGATCCGCATCACAAGATTTCAGGATCGAAATGACTGCGTCGACATCGTTGAGCCAACTGAGTCAACTAGGCTGACTAGGCTGGCTTGAAAAATCTCAGAATCCCAACTGCGGGGTGGCAACAGGGTCTATTACAAAGCGTTCGCAGTGTCGGTAGTTGTTCAAGAGTGAGACCAAACATGCTGGAAAAAGGCTGGTGCAGCGAATCGTCCTCTCCACACGACACAAAAATGTCTCTGCATTGATCAAACCAATCTATGACCGATCATTCTCTGTGGGGCACCTCAAGTATGTGCAACCAACCTGCGCAGTGCACAGGGAGAGCGAGCTCCCCAAGGAGCTTGGAGTGGATATAAAATCTGGAAACTTATTTGCTGCTGACATCTGCTGACACTTCCGATCTGGCTAGCCATCTGGCGCTCTGAAACTGTCTCCATCATGCCAAAAACGGACAAAGCACAGCCGCATCGGAGTTCAATCCAAGCATGTCATTGATCCACCACCGGTCTGGGATGCCAAGCCAAACCTCTTCAGAGCCTTGTTGCAACTGATGAAAAAAGCGACACATCTTCATTATCTTCATTTCTGATGCCTTTCGTGCATAGATTTCCCACATCAATGCCGAATCTCGAGCTTGGATCACGTTTTCACAAGATTTCACGAGTCCCTTCAAGATGCAAACTTGCTCTCTCCAGTTAGTGCACTGGAATTCTGTGGCAAAGGAGCGGCAATGGCAGATGCATCAGCTTCACAGGTGTCCATGCTGTCGTGCGGAAAATCTGTGGCCGTTCACGATGTGGCGCTTGGAAACAGCTGGCACTGCCTCGGCACAGATCCGCTGTCGGACCCATGTCATGGAACACATGGAACACATGGAACGAACCGGGCGGACCAACACGTGTTGAACGTGTTGTGCTTCGGCAAAGGGCATCAGCTGGAGGGGCATCAGCTGTGGCGAGGTCGGATTGGGGCCTTCAAAAACCGTTTGGAGGACTTTTTGGACTTTTTTGAGTCGATCTCTGGAATCCAGTTCTCATGACTGATCAGCTCCGGAGAGGCCGAGGCCAGCAAGGCCTTGTTGAATCCAGGCACCCTTGAGCTTTCAGCATGAACCAAGAGTCAAATGTGTTGAAACGCTTGGAGTGATAGCTAAGACCTGATTTGCATCACGTGAACTAACGATTTCCACTGTATTTGCTGATGCAAAATCTCAAATCTCAACCTGTGCCACTCCCAAAGACTGAAAAACTGGGAGTAAAAGCGCCCCACCTGGCTGTAGCCAGCGCCAAATCCGTGAAGTCCGGTGGAAGATGCTTCTGGGGATGCAAAATACTCTTGGTTTTTCTCATCATTTTCTCACCATTGTTTCCTTCTTTTCCTTGGATTCCATAGATTCTAGAAACATTCCATAGATTCCATCACTTCGATAGACCTCATTGGCACCTCAGCGAATCTTTGCGACACCCAGACGGAAGATTCTGCTTCTGCTCTCTGAAATGCAAGCTGGATTGAAACAAAGAGATAAACAAAGTATCACATGGGTGAGGCTAACATTGGGCGTAGCCTACATCGACCAACATGGCATTTGGTTATAGAGGCAACAGAGGGCGGATAGCTTTACAGCTGGACCTGACCTCATGCCGAAGCGTCAGAATCACTTTGGAACGCTGCCCGAAGAATATGACTTTCACCTTGGAAATCAGATCAACATCGAATGGACGGGTGACTGGACTGGTCACTTGATGAACCGCATGCAGTGAACAGGGCTGAAGGACAGCAAGTCTAGGTGGAGAATTTCATCATCTGCTCACCCAAGGGATCTGGATATTGATGGAAGAAGCCCATGGCCACCCATGTCTTCAGAGACTTCGTTTCTTTTGCATGTGGATCCGGTGACGAAGCTTTGAACTCTTGCAAGTTTGAGTGAGCTCTGGGCCTTATCTGGTGAAGTCTGCTGGCTTTTTGCACCAAAAGCTGCACTATCTGGATTAACGTGAGAAGTTTTTCTCTATATCCTTCCAGATATTTTCTCTCACCGGAGTTGCAAGGTTTTTTTCCACTGCTGGATGGGACAAGTTCAAACATTTCTGACAGAAGCTCTGCAGAAAGATCCGCAAAATTTGAGGGCGACTGCAGCTTTAGCCCCAATGATGATGTCAAACAATCGAGTTTCAAGGGTCAACTGTGGCTGAAATCCTTGCAGCCCCAAACCCTCAAGGCAACCTGCATTTCCAAGGAGTCCTACGTCATGGCTGTCCTGGCTCGTGTGGGAAAGCACGGAAAGCGCAATGTTGAAGAAGCTCAGGCCGCCTCTTGTGCATGAGACATTTTATCTTTGCTGAACGGTTTATCACATTCCAGGCATTTTTTTAATGGATTCCTACACCAACGACACTGAAATTCACCGGCCAAAATCTCACTGGTTCACCACATCGGCGGCTTCGGACCAGAAATCTTGGGGATCTCTGGAAATCTTGGGGATCTTGGGGATTGCCTGTGGAACCGGGGCCGCCATCAGGCCGTATCGCTATGGCTGTGCAGCACCTGCAGCACCTCTGCCAAGTCATCCAAGTCCCTCACCGAGGATTGAGCTCCTGGACGCTGGAATTCAGCAGATGGCAGGATTGAGCTCCATCAACTTTTTGATGTGGCCGATGACTCCGATGACCAAGTCCACAGATCAGCAGGCCGATGGCTGGCAGCTGTGCTGGTGCTGGTGGTGCTTATAGCAGCACAATGTTGGGCATGCGGTGCACTGTGCAACACGGCGAGAAGCAATCAGGATCTCAGCTGCACAAGGAAACCCAACAGCTGAGTGCCACGCTGTGAGGGATGCGGGGTAAAGCTTTAAAAAAATGTCCCCAGCCCTCTGTGTTTCACATCTTAAGGAAAACAACCAGTGTTGATTGCCATGCTGTACCCTCTGGTCACCAATGGGAAGCTCCGGGTCTTTTTCTCCTGCACGAACCAACCACTGGCACGTCCTGTCAACGATCTCACTTGGCCAAGTGAGATAGAAGCACACTCTGTTGGGCAGGCTGGGGCGCCACTCAACCTGTCCTGAATCAAAAAAAAAAAGATGAGAAAATAAAGGGTCAGGTTGGAAGATCTTTGAATCTCCCGCATCACTCTGGTTGCAACATCAATGCAAATCTGGTCAAGATCTTTGACGAACAGGTGACACGTCTGAAATGGACGAAATGGATGAAATGGAAGGGCAAACCGCCTCTCTTTGGCCTCGCAGATTCAAAAAACATGCCTTCACTGCTTCCATGTGGTTTTCAGTGGTTTTCCTGATCTGATGGGTAGAGTCCAAACAGCACTTGGCCCACAAGGTTTCCTCATCAGCTCAAGTAAGGAATGCTTTAACCACTCCGCCAGACTCGTCCATACCTGGGCATAGAGCTACCATAGCTCAACTTGCCCTTGTTCCTATGGTTTTCTGTCAAAACTTTCACAAAACACGCTGCTTTACGGGATACAAATCGAATTTCCTCTTAGGCATTCCACTTTTCACCACCCAACAGCATCACATAAAACCTCACCCTTGGCACCCGACACCAGTTGCATCTCTTTAGTCCAGCAAGGGCTCGATTTTTCCTCAAACGTGATGAGATTCTCGGCTCTCTGTGCAGACCTGCAATATTCACGCGCGTCCTACAGCAGTTTTGGCCTCAACTAGTTGACCTCAAGAAAGCCCACCTGCACCTGACCAAACCCAAAACTAACCATCTTGCCAGGTTTTGAAGCCACATTTGCTGCTGGTTTCCGGTGAACTACCATAGGACCATAGGCCTCAACATGCATTTCTTATCATTTCTTGTTGCCAAAAAGGCCGCATCCCTTAGCACCTCCAAGCAGCTCTGCTTCATCGCAGTGTCAGTATGTTTCAGGGATCTAACTGATGGATTGATGATGATTGATGAATGGCCATCCTATGCCATTCATTTCACGATCCAACCTATGTATGTCCAGGGGCGAAACAACTCCCGCCTTCACCTTGCGCCCGCGCCGAACCCGATCGGGCGCCGGGACACGTGCCCGGACCCGAGGCCGAACTCGTGGTCGAAAGGTGCGAATGGCTATGACACTGGGGCTGTTTGGGCTGCTTGGGCTGCTTGGGCTGCTTGGGCTGCTGGAGATCCAATTCTCCAGTGAAAGGTGATCAAGATAATTAAGGTGATATTGGTTTATTCAAGATATTGATGATCAAGTCTCAAACCAATGAACGCATTTGAATCATTTGATGTTGTAGAGTCAAGCTCAAATGGGACCCGGTTCTTTTTGTTTTACACGACTCCAACTTCGGACTCTCAATCCCATCTGCATCGTGGCAATCGTGGCAGGTGATGTTCTCATGGGGCAAGCTCTTTGCATCCTGGAGACACATTGTGGGACATATAAAATCCTTTTATAACTTATGATCCTGGCATCACTTCATGGCTTCATGTGCTTCATTTGCCTCGGCCTAGCTTCTGGCTGGTTCCACCAGCCTGGATGGTTCCGGCAGCAACATGGAGCAAGGCGGAGTCCAGGGCTGTCAAGATTCTGACCTCCAAAACTTCCAGCAGTTTGCAGTCAAAAATCACAGGAATTCGTTGACACGTCAGACACGTCAGACACGTCTCATCGCTTTGCTGGTGAACCTGTCAACAATCTTAGGATATGTTAGGTTTGTGCCCACTCTTTTTCATGAACATATCTACATAATTCTACATAGGTCCGCACTTCCATTGTGCACCCATCAGACAAGGGGACTTCACCATGCAGAAACACCCAACACGGGGACCAAGGGGACACGCTGGTCACCTTTGCCAGTCACTTGCAACTGGATTTTAGGGCCATGGATCCTTTCAAACAATGTGGCAGCTTGAAGTGTTGGGTTCTTTGGAAATGCAAAGCAACAAACCCAAGCACCAAAGACTGCTGGCGAAGGGATCTGCTGCGTTCAGGTTAATATATCTCGTCATCTTTTTGACTACCAACAATGCCCAGCTGAACACAGGAACAACGGACACAGTTGGCTTTCTTTGGCTTCCTGATCAACACCTTTTGGCTTGTTGCGACGGTTGCGAAAGCGCCGCTAAGACAAAGCTTTGCAGGTCGTTTTGGTGCCAGTCCATACCCATGGGACCCATGGCTGAGAATTGGTAGAGGCATGTACCAAGGACCAGGTGTAAACTGCAACGGATCATGTCGTGAAATGAAAGACCTCTGAATGACTTCGGATGCCGGTGACTCAGGAGGGAGCAAAATCAGGACTTGGGAATACTTGGGATGTTGGATGACTTCAATGAAGGATTGATGTGATCCACCTATAATCCTAGATGATCCTAGACTGTGGATCTGCACATGTTTCCACCGGTTGCCACCGGTCAGGATTTTCAGCTGACACTGGAGGTCAATCACATCCATGACATCGAGCTGCGCGAGCTGCACCTTACCTACACCTTGGAGCCGAAAAGCTGAGCTGTGCCTTGCCATGATGATAGATCCACATGACCCATCTTGACGAACTGGGAGGCAAGAGGCTGCCGACAACATGGTGCCTTTTGCCAAGGTTGTCACGACAACCATAAACCAACCTGCAGCCTTCATGTCAGGTTCCACTGGTTGAAACTTCCCTGCAGCCGAAAAACTGCACCTGAAGACAGTTGAAAAAGATCCAGATTCAAAACCTGTAAACATCTTTAAACCACAGAGCGCAGTGTCCAGTTGGCAGCTGGCAGCTACCAGCATGCAACCTGCGCTATGCAGCACGCGGCATGTGTTCACCCTGCTGCTTCTGGCTCTTGGCTGCGCTTCACGCGGCTGAAACGGCTGAAGCGGCTGAAGGTCCACCAGTAAGGCCAGAAACTTCAACGCCAGGATGGAAATCTGCTTCCACCGGGGGCGAGATTTCCCAAATGATATCCTGGAAATCTCAGGCCTTGGGATGCAATGTGCACAATGTTTCAGTAGGTGGGATCCCAGGATCCAATCGCGGATTTCGCTTTCAGATCTTTCAGGCTCCAGATGCTGTTGGGCTTGGGGAAATTTGCCGGCATCCCGTGGCAGTGAGCCAGGTCAAGGCGCAAACAACACCTGGCCACCAGGGAAAGTCTGCCTCTTATCTGCGGTCTCCGGAGATCTCCGAAAAGCCAGAGATGCAAGTAGAAAATCGCTGCACTGCAAAATCAAAGCGATTCAGCCGGCTTCAGCGAGGTGCTTAGCATCGCAAGGAACTTGTGGGGCATGGCAGGCAGACTGGGATGGCTATGCTGGCTATGCTGGTAGTCCACCAGCCAGTGCCCAAGGTTCAGCCTCGTCCAGCGCGATGCTGGCCCCGCTGTTGGAACACGATGATGTTGGGCCTCTCAAGTCGACCTCTTGCAATCATTATGAGATGGGGAAACACCACATCTGAGGCCTTTGGAGGCGCATGGTTCAACAAATGTTCAAGAAATTCTCTGGCATGTCATAATCAAGATTAATGGCCAGTGCCAATGAACTGTCACTCAGGGTCGTGCATACATCAAAGCAATCCAAAAGTCTACCACACTCCCAAGCGACAGGGTGGAACTCAGACTGACTCGCAACGCCAAATAACTCCAGCTGCTGACAAGCAAAGAGTTGATGCATGCATGGTGTGTGATCTTCAACAAATTCTACCTTTGTGGGCTTGTTTATTTGTCGGCAACTGTCACACTACTGCCTGCAAACCTGAAAATTGGGGGTTAACTGCACCATATTCAAGTTGAGATCCATGTGCAAAGCACTCATTGTCAAGTGACCCATTTGAAGCCCAAACAATTTTGGCGTCACCTGACCCATTGCCACTTTGCAACAACAGTTATGTTCCTCGCCCTTCGACGTGCTTCTAGTGGCGCGCTCACACGTGTACCTTTCCAACTGGAACTTGAGCGACACCTCGACACATGCTGCAGGGGCATGGTAGCTGCAGAGGGATGTATCGGTAGACCATGACCCCCATGACCTAATCAGAGGACCGACCACCTGTGAATGACCAAATAAAGACTGTCTTCCGGGTGAAGGTTTGGATGACAGCAAGCAGCACTTTCTGCTGAAACCATTTTCGTTCTCTTCATTGTCGAGTGGCAATGGATCATCATGGTTATCCACTATTTGATTTTTTTGGATGGGAAAATCATCTGCAAGTGGATAGTTTTGTGTCCAGGGTCAGGCTCAAAAAGCATTCTTGCACTTTGCAGCCTTTGCAGCTTCCAATTTTATTCATATTTCCCCTGAGTTCAACTGCTGCAACTTGGCCTCAACTTGACCTCAACTTGCTGTGCCACACATCTCCTGATCCATCAGCTGAGGATTAAAGGCTGTGATTTCACACCGAGACATAGATCCAATTCAACCAACTGGTTGTCGAGCAACGAGTGAGGTGTAGCATAACTGGCTGCCCGGTGAAGAATCCTTTCTGTTGATCACTTCCGCGGGATGATTTTCACTAGACTTTTCTTTAGACTTCCAGGTTTTCACTTCCAGTTACTGAAGACCTACGGCGCCGCGACAACATGCGTCAAGCCTCCAGAGCAAGCTCCAGGTCGCTTGAACTAAGAATCGAACTGTCATCCAACGATTCGTTGGACAGGTGCTTGAACTTACCAAGATCCTTATTGATGCAGACCTTTCCAGCATCCAGCGAACAACTGCTGGCTCGATTAGCTGGAAATGAAGACGAATCGTTTCATCTTGACGGCCAACTGTGCTTAAACGT